ACTATGCAGCTTCCATTTCCCCCCTTCCTTGCCAGACTGTGCTGGCCCCAAGCTAAAGGATAACCAGAAAACTAACTGGTTATCACTGCACTTATCAGTTAAACTATTAAGTAGGGGCGCTCCGATAAGAGATTTTGGGGGTCAATACAGATAGCCGATTTTTAAGGAGGCTAATACCAATCAGATTTCCGATACAGCTGCATGCAGCTGGTAAGACTGTTGTGGTGGAAGGGGAGGGGGGAGGGAAGGGGTGTGGTGGGGGGCCAGATCAAGGCTCCTGAGGTGGGGGAGGAGTGGGGCTGGAGCTGACACTGCCCAGCCAGGGTGGCGTGGGGTGTGGGACAGAGCTGTCCCACATCTAGGGGGCACCAGATGGGGAGCAGGGTGCACGCACCCTGGGAGGGTTTGGGGTGACATGTTCCCTGAGATTGGAATGGGGCAGGGCAGACTGCAGCTGCAGGCTGGGGTGGTGCCAGGCTCTTCCCAGTGGGGGCTGGGCTGGGCTGGGCTGCACTTGGGGCAGGCAGTGGTGGCACTGGGAGGAGGGTTAAGGGGGGCCTGCAGCCACACCAAATTTTGCTGTAGCCCCCCTGTAGCCCCCCCTCCCAATGCTGCTGCCCGCAGCAGCAGCCCACCACACCCTGCTCTGCATAGACTGGGGGCATGTACCCCCCTCATACCCTAACCCCATATGCCTTAGACAAGCCATGGTTCTGTGCCGTGCCCCATCCCACCCCAGCTGGGCAGTGCCTGCCCCACTCCCTCCCTCACCATGGGGGAGCATTTATTTGCGCCCCCACGCCCTTTCCCCTTCCACCACAACAGATTTACCAGCTGCACAAGCTACCAGGCTGTATTCCTTGCAGACTGAGTGTTGTGCTGAAGCTGTGCACATGCACAGGCATTTATCAGCCAAATTACTGACCACAACAAGCCGATTTCCGATACAATCAATTTTCTTTACATCGGTGCCGATCTGAAATTGGCCCGATGTATTGGTGCACCTCTACTATTAATTGTTTAAGCTTTCACGTCCCTGTGGCCCATGAGGGGTTAGCACGCAGACTGTGGGCTCCTGCCCATCTACCACTGGCACCATTGCTCTGGCTGCCATGGTCTCTGTTCCTCCTCCAGTTTTTGCTTCCTGACCCTGCCCTTGGGGATGGGGTAGTGCAATGTACTGGGAAGGGCTTCAGGGAGGGGGCCATGTGCTACTGGGGGAAGGGAAGAAACAGGCTCCTTGCCCTGCCCAGGTGTCACATGCAGTAGGAGAAACTGGGCTGCTTATATGGCAAGAGTAGGGCCTGCCTGCCTTAGCCACACAGCATGCAGTGATGAGGGAGCCAGGCTAGCTACCCATGCTGTGTACATGATGGGGGGCTGGGCTGCCTGTATGGCAATGTAGCACGGTGCTTGCAACTCTTGCAGCGTGCAGCCTGGTGTCCTGCAGTGTGCATGGCATGCAGCATCTCCACCAGTCACAAGCTGGACAGTTCTGTACTACACTATAGTTAAGATGAAGGTATGCTTATATAGTGCAAAACTACATCCTAAAAACACATGAAGTAAGAAATATTTCTTGCCTTGTACAAACTGTAAATTAGATCTATAAATAAAACTGACATTTCTAACTCAACTCACGTCACATTTCTTCACATGTGTACAGGGTACACCTTGTCAAAAGGTGACATTATTTATTAATTACTAAAAACTCAAGAATACAAGTTGAAGTATTTGTATAAAACAAAAATAAAAATTTTACTTATAAAATTGCAATTTCTATACTGGCTAATCAAGGAGTAGAAGAAGTTTTGTTTTTTCACACAGTTTCTGTAACTGACTTCAACTGTCTGAGAGTTGCAACAGATGTCACAAGGGCATTTTCTAATACAATTAAGAAAGACTTAATTTTTGTGTGCCTGACAAAAATGGTTACATTGAATGTGAGTGTGAAGAAAGCAACTTAGTGTGAAAGGAGAACACTGATTCTTCCAAAAATGATGCAGTATTTTAAAAAGCAGCATAGAGCACTTTTACTTGAAGATAAGAGTCACAAGCTTTTAAACATTTCAGAAAATGGGTCTCTCTGTGCAACTCTAATCACAGAGAAAAAAAGTTTATATCAATTAACTGATGTACATAGAGAGTCTATATAATAATAGAGTAGCACAATTTGACCACTTCAAATCCATTATACTGAGGAAAAGGAAATAAACTATTGTCACTGAAAAAGTTAAAAGACAAAAGGTAGAAGAGAGTATAGATTTCACTTACTAGACAAGCTAATCTGTCAAGCAGTGAACCATTGGGCATGAATTCATAAACAAGACAAGGTTGATCACCATCACTTGAGAAGCCCAGCAGTTCTACTAGGTTTTCATGATGACACCTGTTGGCAACAAAACATATTTAGAAATATGCAGCAGATTCAACATTTAGAAAATAAAGTTTAGTCTCAAATATTACAGGCTCAGGGGCCAGTTCAATTTTGCAGAATTAAGATAATTCAGAAATCTTTATAAGGTTAAGTTTTTATCTTAAAAGGCATTACATGAAAATATCTCATAATTAAATTAATATTTATATTTTAAAAAATGAATACTGGAAGAGGGCCAATGTGGTGCCTATCTACAAGAAAGGAAGGAAGGAGGATCCAGGGAATTACAGGCCAATCAGTTTGACCTCAATCCCTGGAAAAATCCTGGAAAAAATTATTAAAGAATCCATTAGCAATAGGTTAATGGAAGGCAGCCTTCTAATAGATAGCCAACATGGCTTTGTTCTGGGTAGGTCATGTCTGACCAACCTCACTTCCTTCTACGATCAGGTAACACGCCGCCTGGAAAAGGGAGATGAGATTAACGTCATTTACTTGGATTTCAAAAAAGCCTTTGACTTGGGTCTCCCACGACATGCTCATGGTAAAATTGGGGAACTGCAGCCTCAATAACCCAACGGTCTGATGACTAGGAAACCAGCTCTGAGGCAGGACCCAGAGAGTAATAATAGATGAAACTGAGTCAACATGGTGCTTGGTGACCAGTGGCATCCCTCAGAGTTCAGTACTCGTACTTTTTAACATAGTCATTAATGATTTGGATTCGGGTGTTAAAAGTGGACTGGAAAAGTTCGCAGATGACACCAAATTATGGGGGACTGTGGTCACGCTGGAGGATAGGCTGGGGATAAAGGCTGACCTGGATAGGCTCGTCAGGTGAGCAGATCAAAACCTGATGATGTTCAACACCAAAAAGTATAAGGTGCTCCACCTGGGGAGAAACAACCCACAACATGCTTACAGGCTCAGCAGTGCTACAATTACTAGCACCACAGCCGAAAGGGTCTTGATAGACCACAGAATGAACATAAGCCACCAATGCAATGCCCTAGCCGGCAAAGCAAACAAAACACTGGCATGCATCTACTGATGCATCTCAAACAAGACTAAGGATGTCATCCTCCCGCTTTACTCGTCCTTGGTGAAGCCACAACTGAAGTACTGCGTCCAGTTTGGGCACCACACTTCAGGAAAGATGTGGAGAGGCTTGAGAGAGTCTAAAAGAGGGCTGTGTGTATGGTCAGAGGTATGGAGAGTAGTAGGCCATATGGCTGAGAGACTTGGGTCTGTTCAGCTTGGAGAAGAGAAAACTCAAGAGGGGACTTGGTGGCAGCTTATAAGTATACAAGGGACCCACCATCAGGGACAGGGAGAACGTCTGTTCACTAGCACTCTCCAGGGGAAGACTAGGTGTAATGGTCATAAATTGCTAAAAGACCACTTTAGATTAGACATAAGGAAAAACTTTACAACTCAAGTGTCCAGGGTCTGAAATAGACTCCCCACAAAGTGATACAATCACCTACTCTGGATATCTTCAAAAAACATCTGGAACCTCACCTTGCTGGGGTCATCTGAACCCAGCAGTCTTTCCTGGCCAAATGCAGGGGCTGGACCTGATGATCTCGACAGATCTCTTCCAGACCCTAATGTCTATGAATCTATTTCTCCAAACCCAAAGCAAGGACATTCTGAAAGAAGCATGCTAGCACACATATTAACTCTGGCTCCTTCAATACAGTCTAGATTCAAATCAGTGCCAGAAGTTATACAGCACAGTACTTACTTTGCTAATGTTTTTATTTCTTGATCAAACTGCTGTTTCAAATCTTGAATACTAACATCAACCATCTACAATGAAAAATAATTATTCTCCATTAATTTTTGTGGACAATATTAAATACAACATAGGTTTACTGCAAATGTGCATAAGGGATTGTAAACCTTACAATGGATCACGGGTCACCCTTTTTGTAAACAATAAAAACTGGTTTGAAATAATTTGACTGCAACACAGTACAAACCATATAATCTACGGAAAGAATGGGAGTGTCATAACATATTTTTACTGATTGATTTTGGGTCTGCTGATCTACAAAAACAGCACCATGCTGATTTATATTCAGTTAGTTATTCTTAAAGATACTGCACACACACAAACATCCAACCAACTACATTCTGAAGGAACTGATGTGATGAGCAAACTCTTAGGGCTGTGCGAAGCTTCGGGTACTGTTTTGATCCAGAGGAGATTCGGCCCAATTTGGTGGCCGAATCTCCGAATCCGATTCAATGGATCCGATGGCCGAATCTCCGAATCCGATTCGATCCGAATCCCCTGGGTGATTCAGGGGACCAATTAAAAGGTCCAAATCAATTCGAAGCTCTTTGAATCTTCGGAAAAGATTTGGAGAGCTTTGATGATTCGGGTAGTCCCTGTAGGCTGCATCAGGGAGCTGCAGCTGGA